GAATATAGCTCAGCTTAAGAGACTAAAGCAAAGGTGACTCTTCAGAACCAGAGGCTGATACATGCCTTTAAAACTGTGATTTTCTGGCTGTTGATGATATGTCTCAAGTACACAAGTTATAATCCGTGGTACTTGTAATTTGGTTCTGTTTCTACTTTGTTGGGTACCTATTATTGTTGTCTTCTAGTGGTATTTTAGAGGATTTGAACAATTTACATTTACTAATGAGACCAGGACACAAAATGCAAATGAATCTTGAGATTTTTTTAGGGTTTAATGTGATGAAACAAGATCCTTTTTCAGAAGTATTTTACGTATTTTTTCCTCAGAAGTATATTTGTATTCAAGTACTTATTGAAGTACACCTTCAAAGAGGATTGTTCTGTTGATGCAATAAGAATTACTGCTGTGCTTTACTATTAACTCCCTATTACCTTTGTTTATTATTATCTTCTGTGAGTGATCTAGATATTCCCAGTTTTCTGTTATTTTACACTTTGTAATATCATCATTATGGGACCTTCTGTCACAAAGATGTAAATGTTTCATGTGTATTTCATGTTTTTATTGAAATAATTAAGTTAAATTTCAGTCGCAATCCCCCCAAGTCAAAATACATTGTAAGGAAATAATAAAATAGTCTATTTAATTTTTTTTTTTTTTCTGATTTCGTATGTGTTGGTTGTTTTGTTTTTTTGTGGGTTTTTTTTTTGTTTGTTTGTTTTTGGTTTTTTGTAAGCAGAAGAAAGAGTGAAACCAAATGTGTTTATTAAGATTTCAACAGAACCATCATTTTTGTTTGGGAAAAATATGAAAAGAAATATCAAGTGAGGGAAAGAAAGATATTTTTTCTCTATTTCACACCATTTAATGAGAGTTTATGTAGTCTCAGTTAGATAACTAGCTGTAACATAATGTTACAGTCAGAACTTTGTTGTGAGCAAAAAAGCAAACTTACCTGATATGAGAAGCCACGAATTCACAGCTGCATTAAAATCATAGAATCATAGAATGGTTTGGCTGGGAAGGGACCTTAAAGATCATCTAGTTCCAACCCCCCCTGCCATGGGCAGGGACACTTCCCAGTAGATCAGGTTGCTCAAAGCCCTGTCCAGCCTGGCCTGGAACACTGCCTGGGAGGGGGCAGCCACAACCTCTGTGGGCAACCTGTTCCAGTGTCTCATCACCCTCACATTGAAGAATTTCTTCTTATATCTAATCTAAATCTACCCTCTTTCAGTTTAAATCATAACTATTTAGAGTATTTTACTTAGACTGTTAATATAGTTAGTCCAGTTACAATTATATTACCATTTACACTCCAAATTATCAAATTAATGCATAATAAGTCTCATTAAAACACAACTTTAAAATGTCACACAAACACTTTCAAGTACCTACCCTTTTCTCAGTATTTATGCTGTCCCTTTAGGTGCTAAAGTTGGCAGCACCCATTCTCCTCAGAAAGAAAGGAAAAAGTGGTTACTGAGTTGTTGGCATCCTGAATTCCAGGAAGACTGTGACGCTGATGGTTTCTTCTTCCTCACCTCTCAGTTACACTTGGGGCTAATTTAGCATATTTTCTCACATGTTTTTTTGCCTTGCTCTTTCTTTATTGATTGACAAGATCTCTTTTTATGTGTATATATAATGTATTTTATTTTACATATGTTAGTACATTCCTTGTTCTTCTCCACATTTTTTCCCTCTTTGCTAGCCTTAAAACCTTTTTGTGCAGCTCTTCAATCAGTTGTTTTTAATGACCACTACTAGCTTCTTTAGAAAACTGTCTTTATTATCCCATGCTTATAGTCCTGTAAATCACATTATTATGTAAAAATCATAAATCTTTCATTCTACAGAGAATTATTACTTTTCACTGTATATGTAAAACCTTTGATTATACAAGAAGATTATTCAAACATAAACAAATATAAGTGATACAAGCAAAACTGTAACAATTTAGGCAATAGTCACCTGATCATTAGAAAAATTGTTGCAGCTAAACAAGCTAAATGAAAACTCCAGGCAGGCAAGGAAAGTTCAGACAAAGCCTGAGAAATCAATCTGGAGGCCTTGCAGAGCTGTTACAAGGTCTACAGCAAGGTTACTAGCAGTGGCATTACTGGTTTACAGGGCTACTGTAACAGCTAAACTAACATTCTTGCATTGTCTTTCATCTCTGCCTTATTACTTCTAATTAGCAAACTGACTAGTTAGGAAGTCTACTAGAAAAAGTTGTAAAGGCCTGTATATTTTTTGTTCTGCATTGCTGTTTCTCAGGTTATATTTAGTAATGCTGTCCTTTCTTTTTTTAATGTTACAGAATTTGAAATCTTG